CTTCTTTAATGTCCTCTTACCTGCTTTTTTCTCTTCTCTTCTTTCTTTCTTTCTTCTTTTCTCTTTCTTCTTACCTTCTTTCTTCTTTTTCTCTTTTCTCTTTCTCCCTTCTTCTTCTTCTTCTTCTTCCTGCTTCTCTTTTTCTCTTCTCTTTTTCTCTTTTCTTTCTTCTCTTTCTTCTTCTCTTTTCTTCTTCTTCTCTTTCCTTCTTTTTCTTTCTTCTTTCTCTTCTTCTTTTTCTCTTCTTCTCAATTTCTTCTTCTTCTTTCTTTCTCTTTTTCTTTTCTTCTTCTTATTCTTTTTCTTCTTTCTTTCTTCTTCTCTCTCTTTTCTTTCTTCTTCTTTTTCTTCTCTATTCTTCTTCTTCTTTTTGTCTTTTTTCTCTCTCTTCAATCAATTTAATGTCCTTCTTCTCTGCTTCTTCTTTTTCTATGTACCTTCTCTTTTTTCTTTCCTCTTTCTTCTTTTTCTTTCTTCTTCTCTCTTCTTTTCTTCTTCTTTTCTTCTCTTCTTCTTCTTCTTCTTCTTTTCTTCTCTCTCTCTTCTTCTTCTTCCTCTTTCTTTTTCTTTCTTCTTTTCTTCTTTCTTTTCTTCTTCTCTCTTCTTTCTCTTCTCCTTCTTTCTTCTTCTTCTCTTCTTCTTCTTTTCTTTCTCTTCTTCTTTCTTCTTTTTCCTTCTCTTTCTCTTTCTTCTTCTATCTTCTTCTTCTTTTTTTCTTCTCTTCTTCTTCTTTCTTTTTTTTCTTTCTTCTTCTTTTTTCTTCTTCTCTTCTTTCTCTTCTCTTTTTCTTGTTTCTCTTCTTCTTCTTCTTTCTTTCTTTCTTCTTTCTCTTCTTCTTCTCTTCTCTCTTCTTCTTCTTCTTCTTTCTCTTCTCTTTCTTTTCTTTTTTCTTCTTCTCTTCTTTTTTCTCTTCTTCTTCTTTCTGTCTTCTTTCTTCTTCTTTCTTTTCTTCTTCTTTTTCTTCTTCTTTTTCTTTTTATTTCTCTTCTTTCTTCTTCTTCTTTTCTCTTCTCTTTCTTCTTCTTCTTTCTTCTTCTTCTTTCTTCCTTCTTCTTTCTTTCTTTCCTCTTCTTCTTTTTCTTCTTTTTCTTCTCTCTCTTCTTCTTCTTTCTTCTTCTTCTTCTTTCTTCTCTTCTTCTTCTCTTTCTTCTATCTCTTCTTTTTCTCTTTTTTCTTCTTCTTCTTTTCTTCTTTTTTCTTCTTTTCTCTCTTCTTTCTTCTCTTCTCTCTTCTCTTCTTTCTTCTTCTTCTTCTCTTCTTCTCTTTCTTCTCTTCTTCTTCTTCTCTTTCTTCTTCTTCTTCTTTCTTCCTCTTTTCTTCTTCTTTTTTTCTTCTCTTCTTTTCTTCTTCTTTTTCTTCTTCTTTTTCTTCTTTTTCTTTCTCTCTTTCTTCTCCTCTTTCTTCTTCTCTTCTCTTCTTTCTTCTTCTTTTTCTTCTTTCTTCTTTTTTCTTCTCTTCTTCTTCTTCTTCTTCTTCTTCTTCTCTTTTTCTTCTTCTTCTTCTTTCTTTCTTTCTTTCTTCTTCTTCTTCTTCTTCTTCTTTCTTCTTCTTTTTTCTTCTTTCTTTTTTTCTTTTTTCTCTTTCTTCTTCTTTCTTCTTCTTCTTCTTCCTTCTTCTTTTCTTTTCTTCTTCTTCTTCTTTCTTCTTCTCTTCTTCTTTCTCTTTTTCTTCTTCTTCTTCTTCTTCTCTCTTCTTCTCTTCTTTCTTCTTTTTTTCTTTTCTCTCTTCTTCTCTTTCTCTCTTCTTCTTCTTCTTCTTTACTCTTCTTTTCTTCTTCTTCTCTCTTCTTCTTCTTCTTCTCTCTTCCTCCTCTTCTTCTTCTTCTTTTCTTCTTTCTTCTTCTTCTTCTTCTCTTCTCTTCTTTTTTCTCTTCTTCTTTTTTCTTCTTCTTCTTTCTTCTCTTCTTTCTCTTTCTTTCTTTTTTTCTTCTTCTTCTTTCTTTCTTCTTCTTCTTCTTCTTCTTTCCTCTTCTTCTTCTTCTTTCTCTTTCTTCTTCTTTCTTCTTCTTCTTTCTTTCTTCTTCTTTTCTCTTTCTTCTTCTTCTTCTTCTTCTTCTCTCTTTCTTTCTTTTCTTCTTCTCTTTCTCTTTCTTCTTTCTCTCTTCTCTCTTCTTCTATCCTCTTCCTTTTCTTCTTTCTCTTTCTTCTTTCTTTCTTTTCTTCTTCCTCTTCTTTTTCTCCTCTCTTCTTCTCTCTTTTTTCTTCTTCCTCTTTCTTCTTCTTCCTCTTTTCTTCTTTCTTCTTCTTTCTCTCCTTCTTCTCTCTCTTCTTTTCTTTCTTTTCTTTCTCTTCTTCTTCCTTCTTCTTTTCTTCTTTTCTTCTTCTTCTTCTTCTTCTCTCTTCTTCTTCTTCTTTCCTTCTCTTCTTCTCTTCTTCTCTCTTCTTCTCTTTCTCTCTTCTTTCTTTCTTTCCTCTTTCCTTTTCTCTTCTTCTTCTTCTTCTCTTCTTCTTTTCCTTCTTCTTCTTCTTCTTCTCTTCTTCTTCTTTCTCTTTCTTACCTTTCTTCTCTCTTCTTCTTCCTCTTCCTTCTTTCTTCTCTCTCTCCTCTCCTCTTCTTCTTCTTCTTCTTTTCTTCTCTTTCTTTCTCCTCCTCCTCCTCTCTCTTCCTCTTCTCTCCTCCTCTTCTTCTTCTTCCTTCTTCTCTTCTTCTCCTCTTCTTCCTCTTCTCCTCCTCTTCTTCTTCCTTTCTTCCCCTCCTCTTCTTCTTTTTCCTTCCTCTTCTTCTCTCTCTTTTCTTCTTCTTCTTCGTCTCCTTCTCCTTCTCTTTCTTTCCTCTCTTCTTCTTCTTCTCTTTCTTTCTTCTCTCTTCTTCCTTCTTCTCCTCTCTCTTTCTTCTCTTCTCTTCTCTTCCTTCCTCTCTCCTCTCTTCTTCTCTCTTCCTTCTCTTCTTTTCTTCTTTCCTCCTCTCTTCTTCTTCCTCTCTCTCTTCTTCTTTCTCTTCTTCTCCTTCTCTCTCTCTCTTTCTTCTATCTCTTTTCTTTCTCTTTCTCTCTTCTTCTCCTCTTCTTTCTTCTCTTCTTCTTCTCTCTTCTCTCCTCTTTCTTCTTCTCTCTTCTTCTCTCTTCTTCTCTTTCTCTCTTTCTCCTCTCTCTTCTCTCCTTCTTCTCTCTTCTTCCTTCTTCTTCTTCTCCTCTTCTTCTCTCTTCTTCTTCTCTTCTTCTTCTCTTCTCTTCTCTCTCTCTCTCTTCTTCTTCTCTCTTCTTCTCTTCTTCTTTCCTTCTTCTTCTCTCTCTCTTTCTTCTTCTTCTCTTCCTCTTTCTCTTCTCTCTCTTCTTCTCTTTCCTTCTCTTCTCCTCTTCTCCTCTCTCTCTCCTTTCTCTCTTTCTTCTCTCTCCTCTCTTCTTCTTCTCTCTTCTCTCTCTCTTCCTTCTTCCTTCTCTTCTCTCCTTTTCTCTTCTTTCTTCTTCTTTCCTTCTTCTCCTTCTTCTCTTCTCTCCTCTTTTCTTCTTCTATCTCTCTTCTTCTCCTCTTCCTCTCTTCTTCTCTTCTCTTCTCTCTACCTCTTCTCCTTCTTCTCCTTCTCTTCTCTTCCTTCTTCTCTCTTTTCCTCTCTCTTTTCTTCTTCTCTTCTTCTTCTCTTTCCTCTCTCTCTCTTCTCTCTCTTTCTTCTTTCTTCTTCTCTCTCTTCTCTTTCTCCTCTTTCTCCTTCTTCTCTCTCTCTCTTCCTCCCTTCTCTTCTTCTCTCTTCTTCTTCTTCTCTCTTTCTTCTTTCTCCTCTCTTCTCCTCTTCTTTCTTCTTCTTCTTCCTCTCCTTCTCCTTCCTCTCCTTCTTCTTTCTTCTCTCTTCTTCCTCTTCTCTCTTCTTCTTTTCTCCTCCTTCTCTCTTCTCCTTCTTCTTCTTTCTCTCTCTTTCTCTCTTTCTTCTCTCTCTCTTCTCTCTCTCCTTTCTCTTTCTCTTTCTTCTCTCTCTCTCCTCTTCTCCCTTCTTTTCTTCTCCTCCTCCTCTCTCTCTCTTCTCTCTCTTCTCTCTCTTTTCTCTCTCTCCTCTTCTCCTCTCCTCCTTCTTCCTCCTTTCTCTCTCCTCTCTCTCTCTCTTCTCTCTCTTCTCTTTTCTCTTCTCCTCTTCTCTCTATGCTCCTTCTTCTCTCCTCTCTCTCTCTCTCTCTCTCTCTCTCTCTCTCTCTCCTCTCTCTCTCTTTCTTCTTTTCTCTCGTCTCTTTCTTTCTCTCTCCTCTCTCTTCTTCCTCTCTCCTTCTCCTTTATTCTTCTTCTCTCTTTCTCTTTTCTTCTCTTCTCGCTTCCTCTTCTTCTCTCTCTCTCTTTCTCTCTCTCTCTTTCTTGCTTTTCTTTTCTTTCTCTTTCTTCTTCTCTCTCTTCTCTCTCTCTCTCTCTCTCACTCTTCTTCTTTCTCTCTCTATTTACTCTCTTCTTTTTCTCTTCTCTTCTTTCTTCTTCTCTTCTCGCTTGCTCTCTCTCTCTCTCTCTCTTCTCTTCTCTCTTTCTTCTCTTTCTTCTCGTCTTCCTTCTCTCTCTTCCTTCTCTTCTCTCTCTCTATTCTTACTCTCTCTTTTCTCTCTTCTCGTGTTCTCTCTGCTCGCTTGCTCTCTCTCTCTCTCTCACTCTCTCTCTCTCTCTCTTGAGCTTTATCTCGTGCTCATTCTCTCTCTCACTCTCTCTCTCTCTCTCTCTATTGTACTCTAACTTTTTTCTCTGTCTCGTGTTCTCTCTGCTCGCTTGCTCTCTCTCTCTCTCTCTCTCTCTCTCACTCTCTCTCTCTCTCTCTCTCTTGAGCTTTATCTCGTGCTCATTCTCTCTCTCACTCTCTCTCTCTCTCTCTATTGTACTCTAACTTTTCTCTCTGTCTCGTGTTCTCTCTGCTCGCTTGCTCTCTCTCTCTCTCTCTCTCTCTCTCTCTCTCTCTCTCTCTCTCTCTCTCTCTCTCTCTCTCGACTGCACTCTATCTGATCTCACTTTCTGGTGCTGTGTCTGAAGATAAAGACAGAAAGGATTGTCTGGTATTGATAGGATTAGACGGATCAACGTTATCTATTACTTTCTGACCTTGAACTAATTCTTTGGACAAACATCCGCCTCTGATGACCGCTTCCTGTCCCACGCTGAAGATATAACGCCCAAAGAGGTCGCTGCCCTGGATGTTGGACAAATTGCTGATGTCGGCGGCCGGGTTGATGGCTGTGCATCCCTCGGAGCCATGGCAAGGCAGCACGTTGTACCACCCTCGTCCTTTGCCGGCATTGATGCCTGCCTGGGGTGGGGGTGGGGTCAAAGAGCATCAATTATCAACCACGGCATGGTACTAAAGACACACAAGATGGCTAAACAAGGTGACAGGACATGTTTATGTTGAAGCGCAGTAGTAGAATAAGTCAGTGATGTTTCTGTCTAGATGTCTGAAGACAGAAAGACAGGCCGACATAAATAGCGACAGACAGCCTGGTACAAGAAGTAACGAAAGATGGATACATGTTGGAAAAAAAGAAAAAGAAGAAGGATAAACAATACGAACGACAGATAGAAGAAAACATTGTGGTTTAAGAAAGAAAGAAAGAAAGAAAGAAAGAAAGAAAGAAAGAAAGAAAGAAAGAAAGAAAGAAAGAAAGAAAGAAAGAAAGAAAGAAAGAAAGAAAGAAAGAAAGAAAGAAAGAAAGAAAGAAAGAAAGAGAAAGAAAGAAAGAAAGAAAAGAAAGAAGAAAGACAAAAGAAAGAAAAAGAAAGAAAGAAAGAAAGAAAGAAAGAAAGAAAGAAAGAAAGAAAGAAAGAAAGAAAGTAAGTAAGAAACAAAGAAAGAAAGAAAGAAGGAGAAAAGAAAGAAAGAAACCAGCTTAATAAACAAAAAATACATAGTGTGACATAAAAGAGAAAGAAAGAAAGAAAGCTAGAAAGAAAGAAACAAACAAACAAACAAACAAAGACCATCATGTACAGTTATACAAGCCCCTACCTCATAGTTGGGTTTCACTGATATGTTGTAGTTTCCGTAGTTGAAGATGGCGAACGTGTAACTGTCATTTCCGGCCAGTGCCAGCTGGAACGTGGTGCTCTGTGCCGGATCATTATGGACGTCTTTTAGTTTAATCATCACATAATCAAGAGTGTGGTATCAACAGTTTTAAGCATGGCGTAAAAGTCGAATTTTTAGAGGTCTTTCATTCAAAGTCGGAGTGCATCTGCCTGTGAGGCGAGGAACCAACAGTCTGCTTACAAATAACCTAGATCTGTTAAACGGGTGTGCATTCATCAGCACATAAAGGACAACACAGTACACATACACAAATATGCTCTAACTATGAAGTGACTACATGGGACTCTAATGTATAAAATAAATGATACTTATCTGTGTCCCTGGCGAAAAAACTTCGTACAATAAAATGACGGTCAGCCTATATATCTCGAACGCGCAGGTGGGGTCGAAAAAAGGGGCGGATTTGACGCCAACAGCGTACACTGAGTGTCTAACGAGGGAGGGAGGGGTTGGCCTATAGGGCGTAACCGGGGTTGGGTTGTGGGGATGACATTAGTGCATCCCATTCCAAGAGTAGAAGAAAGAAGAAGAAAAAATGTTCTTTAAATATATACCAGCCTTTTTTTTTTCCCCCTAGAATAAAAGGGGGACATCATTTCTAAAGGTTGTCTCAGAAAAGGTGCTGGTACTCACCAAACAGTATTTATTTCTAAGAAAAGATATAAACCCTAACGAAAAGTATATTGGCAAGCTTCACAATATAAAAAATACGAACAAAACGTGAACGTTGCGGCTATTAAGCCTTCATCAGCACACACAAAATAAACAATACTACACAGATACAAAAAAAAATCACTTAGCTGGTATCACGATGCGGCCAGGTCGGTGGTTACTGGCAGAATGACCGCAAGTGTCAACTGGGGGAATAAATACCCCCCTTAGTGTAGCGTTGAAATCAATTATGCCTGAAGAAAGAAATGGTTCTGCATATCGCTAGGGAAAACAAACCTGTGAATAAGTTATACTGCAACGTCTGTTAAGTACATACTCACATTACATGGCTGAGTTTTCCTGCACTCCTTTTGACCGAATATCTCCGGTCCCTCTGCAACGTTCTCCCATGTGATCACAATTAGAAACTTCAGGTCAAAGTTCTCTGGGGCATTCACCACAGTCGTTGGTAGGTACAAGTTCAAGTCTGCGTAATAAAATAGAGAATGAACAGTGAGAACTGGAATTTTCTTTCATGGACAAGATGATCAATTCTTCAGTAGTCTAAAGAACGCTGGATCGTTCGACTGTTAATGGCATTTATGAGTTAAGTGATGTGTTATGATTATCTTCACAGCACGCCGGACAAATCCATAGGCGCTCAGATTCTCCTCTCAACATATTCATCAGTGTCGTGCGGTTAATAGTACCAGTCCTATGTTGGTTAACAAGACTTCGTGTGCGTCCAGTGTGCTTCTCATGCTTTGCCATGCCGATCTTTACTTCCAATTCGCGTATTCTTAGAAGTGATGTGGACACGTTGATTCCAAAATTCTCAGAACGTCCTATCTCTCTAAGAGCAATGATAATGTGTGCGTGATCGATGGGCCGGCCATGTTCAATTAATGCAATATCTGCCAGTCTATCAGCTCTCTCATTACCAACAACGCCTGCATAACCTGAGATATGAAAGTAACTGCACACACAGGAGAATTTTGCAACAACTCAGTCCACTGTTTGCGTAACCAGCCTGCCTCGACCAGCCGGATCATGCTCAAAGAATCACTCAGCACACACACGGGGGAATAGTCCTGTGATCCCTTCCAGAGGAAAGCCTGTGTCACCGCCATCACCTCCATCGTCATGCTGCTGGTGGTCATGGAGAAGGCACCGCTGGCTTCCTGAACTGTTCTGTCTGAAGAGCGAGCTGTAAATGCCCATGCACTCTTATGTCCTCGTATAACGGACGCGTCCTTGAAGGTCACTACATCTGTCTCTTCTGACTTGTCACTGATTAGCGCGCATACCTCGGTATTGACAGCAGCTGGATTTTGCTCCCGACAACTCATATCGAGCGTCACGACACAGGAGAATGTGAGATTGGGCGCTTTAGACACTGGTATCCATTCCTCACCTGGATGGATGTCTGTAAGGCTGCAGACCTGCATGATGTCATCCTCTGCCCTACCCAGCCATGATTTGCCCCTTTTAAGCCTATTGTCCTTTTTCTTGAAGAGCATGTGGTGCAAAGGGTGCTTCAGATCTGAGCTTTTTATTTTATTTTTTTTTTTTTTTTTTTTTTTTTTGAGGTATGCACGAGCCCTCCAGATCTTGATCCTGTAGTTCATGGTAGAGAAGTCAAGAAGGTACCTCATTGCTACACAAGAGGTGTCTCCAGTGCACCCTAGAATATTGGCATTTGATGATTTGCACACACTGCCAAAATAAACCTGAATAAACTTGTTTATAGTTATTATAATATAATTATAACTAATTTTTATTATTATGCTAATCCTTTTTCCTGCTTTTTGTGCTTCTTCTTCTTCTCCTCTTCCTCCTCCTTCGTTTTCCACTTCTTTGCCTTCTAGTTCTGTTTCTTCTTTTTCTTCTTCCAGCAAATACAAAACCTCGCGTAAAACAACAACAAGCGATCAACAAAGTCACATCTTTACCTTGAATGAGCTGCAGATCTTCCTGACTGGCTGGACTAGCCGAGCCTCTGGTGTCCACAACCCTATAGCTGATTGTTCCTTGGTAATCGCTGGGAGCGATATTTTGGGGCCGGTAACCCCTGGAAATAAAAGTCACAAACGCAATAAATCCTTCTATCGCATTATCTCCCTTAAACTTGTAGTACATGTTTTAGTATCCAGAAGCCATAAGTTGTTAACCCTTAGGCTCGGTATTATGGATATCGCAACCTTTCGGCCTTGATTCCATTGTAAATACTGTAAATCTGGGAGAAAATGTGGCTTTTCTGCCTACCCCCGGGAGTGAACCCGGACCACAAGGAGTTCGTCACCAGGTCTTCGTCAATCCGGTTTAGCCAACTACGCTAGAGAGCCGTGCTGTAGTACATGTAATAGTAATAAACAAAGGAGTAGTGGTAGCAGTAGCAGCAGCAGATAGTAGAAATAATAAGCGTGATCCCCAAAAACGGACAGGCACGCAAAATTTAAGTTCTGGAATACGATCAAAGTGTAGAAATGGACGATCAGCTAGTACGTTCCATTGGAAGCTTACATCATAGGAACGCTAGGAAGAAAAAGAAGACATCCCAGTAGATCGGTCTCACCCATTCGTGTCATGTTCTTCCAGACCATGTTGTCAAAACTATCTGCCATCTTCCCTCTTGGTTTTTTCCTGTTTATAATGTTTTTTGACGCTCATACTTATGTTTGGATGTCTTAATAACGGTGTCATTTGGTATGTAAGTATACAGTGGCGTGTTGGTTTATTGTTTCCAGTTTCCTGTCTTTTCTTCCCGTTCTCCGATAGTATATTTCCTAAATATTTAAATTCTTTAACTTGCTTCAGACAAGTACCATTCAATCCGATATGTAGCGGACTAGGAATTCTGCTGACCTGTATTATTTCAGTTCTGTTATTATTTATTTTAATGTTATATCTTTCTCTCTTGTTATAATTGCATGAACTTCTTATAAACTGGGCTTGTAGCATACATGACATACCCCTTGCCCCGTTAGGGTGGTGGAGGTGTATCGATGGAAGCCCTAGCACATAGAACCCGCCATCTTTTTTGTCTTCCGCTTGATGAATAAGTGTATGATAACTTAGTGCTTCCTCTTACAGTTTTTCATAAAAATGGATTATTCTGGTCTGATATGGGTTGTCAATTATTCTCTGTACTTTTTTTTTTTTTTTTTTTGCAAATATTTTCACTACGTGCTGGTCATACAACCTAAACATCCATTCTTCTCTTCTTCGTCACTTCCTCTTTCACCGCTTGGCGTGTCAAAAAAGATATAAGGTTCTGTGTCTCACTCTTCTGGTCGCTTGCTCCATAGACATATCGTGCTTTTGTAGAGTTTCTCTGATGTTATCTTTCCATGTTGTTCTTGGACTACCTCCTGCTTCTCAAAGTCCTTAACCTCTTTTAGTGTATAATGCCTTGTAGTGTATACCTTGTAGTGTATACCTTGTAGTGTATACCTTGTAGTGTATGCCTTGTAGTGTATGCCTTGTAGTGTATGCCTTGTAGTGTATGCTATGTAGTGTATACCTTGTAGTGTATGCCTTGTAGTGTATGCCTTGTAGTGTATGCCTTGTAGTGTATGCCTTGTAGTGTATGCCTTGTAGTGTATGCCTTGTAGTGTATGCCTTGTAGTGTATGCCTTGTAGTGTATGCCTTGTAGTGTATGCCTTGTAGTGTATGCCTTGTAGTGTATGCCTTGTAGTGTATGCTATGTAGTGTATGCCTTGTAGTGTATGCCTTGTAGTGTATGCCTTTTAGTGAATGCCTTTTAGTGAATGCCTTGTAGTGTATGCCTTGTAGTGAATGCCTTGTAGTGTATGCCTTGTAGTGAATGCCTTGTAGTGTATACTATGTAGTGTATGCTATGTAGTGTATGCTATGTAGTGTATGCTATGTAGTGTATGCTATGTAGTGTATGCTATGTAGTGTATGCCTTGTAGTGAATGCCTTGTAGTGTATGCTATGTAGTGTATGCTATGTAGTGTATGCCTTGTAGTGTATGCCTTGTAGTGTATGCCTTGTAGTGTATGCCTTGTAGTGTATGCCTTGTAGTGTATGCCTTGTAGTGTATGCCTTGTAGTGTATGCCTTGTAGTGTATGCTATGTAGTCTATGACTTGTAGTGTATGCCTTGTAGTGTATGCCTTGTAGTGAATGCCTTGTAGTGTATGCCTTTTAGTGTATGCCTTGTAGTGTATGCCTTGTAGTGAATGCCTTTTAGTGAATGCCTTGTAGTGTATGCCTTTTAGTGTATGCCTTGTAGTGTATGCCTTGTAGTGTATGCCTTGTAGTGTATGCCTTGTAGTGTATGCCTTGTAATGTATGCTTGTTGTAATGTATGCCTTTTAGTGTATGACTTGTAGTGTATATGTAGTGTAGGCCTTGTGTATGCCTTGTAGTGTATGCCTTGTAGTGTATGCCTTGTAGTGTATGCCTTGTAGTGTATGCCTTGTAATGTATGCCTTGTAGTGTATGCCTTTTAGTGTATGCTAAGTAGTTTATGCCTTGTAGTGTATGCTAAGTAGTGTATGCCTTGTAGTGTATGCCTTGTAGTGTATGCTAAGTAGTGTATGCCTTGTAGTGTATGCCTTGTAGTGTATGCTAAGTAGTGTATGCCTTGTAGTGTATGCTATGTAGTGTATGCCTTGTAGTGTATGCTAAGTAGTGTATGCCTTGTAGTGTATGCTAAGTAGTGTATGCCTTGTAGTGTATGCTAAGTAGTGTATGCCTTGTAGTGTATGCCTTGTAGTGTATGCCTTGTAGTGTATGCTAAGTAGTGTATGCCTTGTAGTGTATGCTAAGTAGTGTATGCCTTGTAGTGTATGCCTTGTAGTGTATGCTAAGTAGTGTATGCCTTGTAGTGTATGCTAAGTAGTGTATGCCTTGTAGTGTATGCTAAGTAGTGTATGCCTTGTAGAGTATGCCTTGTAGTGTATGCCTTGTAGTGTATGCCTTGTAGTGTATGCCTTGTAGTGTATGCCTTGTAGTGTATGCCTTGTAGTGTATGCCTTGTAGTGTATGCCTTGTAGTGTATGCCTTGTAGTGTATGCCTTGTAGTGTATGCCTTGTAGTGGCGAAGTGGTCGAGTCGTTTGCCTCGCGCTCTGAAGGTCGTAGGTTCTTTTCACTGCGGCACCGTTCAGTGTCCGAGTGCACTTTTTACAGAGATTCCTAAGGATCGTTGCCGTAGCTAGCAGAGGTCGTGCTCTGTTCGGCAGGCAGCTAGCTGTTCTGCGGAGAGAGACTGGCTCATTTGTGATAAAACCCTGTACATATAGTCGATCCTCTTACTTTTACCTGTACCTTTGTGTTAAGAAGGCAAACCGTTTGATTTGCTGTCTGTGTATGTAATTTAGAATTAGTTCTGTGCCGACTTTTTCTCTCATGATTCCATTCTGATTTCATCTTTGAACATTCAGACACTCCAAAATCAGTTATCTGCCCTTGGACCTCATCTACTCTCTTATTTACTCTCCGTGCTGCTAACCTTGGTCACCCTGAAATTTCAATAGTTTCATCCTGGAAGGCAGACCAACAGGTCAATCCTAGATACCCCGTTCACCTCCAAAGAAGTTAGAACTTGGTTGCCCGTAAAGCTACCCCAGGCCGAACCTGGAGTCCTGTGTGGGTTATTGATGACTGAATGTTTTTCCCTTTACCTTGATTCATAATCTGTTACAATTTAACTAGCTAGGGGAATTCGATACGACAAGACCAGTCTTACTTGTACAGCAGGGGTGCGATGAAAGGGACATCGCTTGAAGGGATCCTGACACCCCCAAAATATTTCTTGCTTTCGTCGTATGCAACTTCTTTATTGTTTTCAAATGCAACGGTGCCATCGGGAGAAACCTGAAGATAAATAGTTGAAACTCTCCATTGAGTTGACGATGTAAAGTCACATAAAAAAAACTGCTAGAGCTCAAAAACTTAAAAACAAAAATTATAATCCTGTCGAAGAAACAAACAGAAATCAGAATTTATAGTAACAAGACATCATCATCATATACCCTGCCAACTGGTGTAGGCGCTCATGCGTCTACACAGATCACGATCCCTGGTTGACTGGAACATCTCTCTTGATGATATCCCTCCATGCCATCGTTTTAGCCCCTTCAGCATCGTCTCTCTCGGTCTGCCTCTACCCCTTTTTCCACTAATCTTTCTAGTTGTCACAATGTTCTCCAATGTCTCTCTTCTCATTATATGGCCAAAGAACAGTGTTTGTCTCTTTCGTATTGTTGCATATAGAGATCTACTTTCATAAGCCTCTTTCAAACAATCGTTGTTAGTTACTCCGGCCGTTCCAGGTATTCGTAACATTCGTCTCAGAAACCACATCTCTGTTGCTTCCAAAGTCTTAATTTGTAACAAAACAGCCGAGTTAAATAAACAAGTAGAGATTCAACTTGTCCTGGTTGCAGCGGCTCTCTGGGCTCTAGTCATGCAGCCTGCTCGAGACACTGACAGATACCCTAACACAGCAAGCGTGAACACAAACAAACGTCGAGAGCACTAAACTGTTGGCAATTGTCTTTTATTACTCCAAAGATGTTCCTCTGCACCAGAGGTTTGTTGTCTAGGGTATCAGATACTTCATCATACATTTTTAATTACTATCGTTATCTGGAAATGTAACACTTTCAGCACATCTCACGCTTACACTTCAGCACTTCCAAACGTGCCTTCGTAAACCTCAAAGCTCAGCAGTGATACCCTAGTGGTCATACAGTTGTTTTCCTGTAATAAGAGCGGGTTAGGCATGTAATTGTGGTGTGTATGCAATGATCGGTGAAGTCACACAATGATCTAGCCGTCATTTGGCATAGTGCCGTCTCGTTAAAGAGGATCGGGTTGGTGGATGGGCTCTCGTGTATGTCAGTAACAGATCCTCAGAACACTGAACTCAGGTGCTCTTCGTTGAATGCTGTTCTGGGTTGATGCGGTTGGAACTCTCATGCTCCGAAACTCAAGTGCCCGATGATTCCGAAGCACGCTCTGTGAGTCCTTTATCATTACAACACGTGTGGCTGTGCTGCTCTCAAGCCATTGGGAAGCTGCTGTGACTGCCTCCACCTCCATTCTCCCACTGAATGTAGTGACTGTTTTTAAACAGTGTCCATTCACCTTTGCAATATAAAGATCCAACAGATTTAGTCACAATTAACCACATATAAGATCCAACAACTGAGATACTCACAATTAAATTACCCACATATAAGATCCAACAACTGAGATACTCACAATTAAAGTAACCACATATAAGATCCAACAGAGATACTCACAATTAAAGTAACCACATATAAGATCCAACAGAGATACTCACAATTAAAGTAACCACATATACGATCCAATAGAGATACTCACAATTAAAGTAACCACATATAAGATCCAACAGAGATACTCACAATTAAAGTAACCACATATACGATCCAATAGAGATACTCACAATTAAAGTAACCACATATGAGATCCAACAGAGATACACACAATTAAAGTAACCAAATATGAGATCCATCATACATACTCACAATCAAAGTAACCATATTTGAGATCAAACAGAGATACTCACAGTTAAAGTAACCACATATAAGATCCAACAAGTGAGATATTCACAATCAAAGTAACCATATATAAGATCCAACAGCTGAGATACTCACAATTAAAGTAACCACATATAAGATCCAACAGAGATACTCACAATTAAAGTAACCATATATAAGATCCAACAACTGAGATTCTCACAATTAAAGTATCACATATAAGATCCAACAGATGAGATATTCACAATTAAAGTAACCACATATAAGATCCAACAACTGAGATACTCACAGTTAAAGTAACCACATATAAGATCCAACAACTGAGATACTCACAGTTAAAGTAACCACATATAAGATCCAACAACTGAGATACTCACAATTAAAGTAACCACATATAAGATCCAACAACTGAGATACTCACAATTAAAGTAACCACATATAAGATCCAACAACTTAGATTCTCACAATTAAAGTAACCACATATAAGATCCAACAGCTGAGATACTCACAATTAAATTAACCACATATAAGATCCAACAGCTGAGATACTCACAATTAAAGTAACCATATATAAGATCCAACAACTGAGATACTCACAATTAAAGTAACCATATATAAGATCCAACAACTGAGATACTCACAATTAAAGTATCACATATAAGAGTTAACAAATGAGATGCTCACAATTAAAGTAACCACATATAAGATCCAACAACTTAGATACTCACAATTAAAGTAACCACATATAAGATCCAACAGCTGAGATACTCACAATTAAAGTAACCACATATAAGATCCAACAACTGAGATTCTCACAATTAAAGTAACCACATATAAGATCCAACAAATGAGATTCTCACAATTAAAGTAACCACATATAAGATCCAACAACTGAGATTCTCACAATTAAAGTAACCACATATAAGATCCAACAACTGAGATACTCACAATTAAAGTAACCACATATAAGATCCAACAACTGAGATACTCACAGTTAAAGTAACCACATATTAGATCCAACAAGTGAGATACTCACAATTAAAGTAACCACATATAAGATCCAACAACTGAGATACTCACAGTTAAAGTAACCACATATTAGATCCAACAAGTGAGATACTCACAATTAAAGTAACCACATATATGATCCAACAGCTGAGATACTCACAATTAAAATATCACATATAAGATCCAACAACTGAGATAGTCACAAATAAAGTAACCACATATAAGATCCAACAACTGAGATACTCACAATTAAAGTAACCACAGATAAGATCCAACAACTGAGATAGTCACAATTAAAGTAACCACATATAAGATCCAACAAATGAGATTCTCACAATTAAAGTAACCACATATAAGATCCAACAAATGAGATGCTCACAATTAAAGTATCACATGAAAGAGCCAACAAATGAGATACTCACAATTAAAGTAACCACATATAAGATCCAACAACTGAAATACTCACAATTAAAGTACTGTATCTGTGGTCGAGAAAGGAGATGTTAAACTGTAGGTTTATCTGGGCTGGTATGCTGATGTCAAAGATCTCATCGCCATGCGGAGCGCCGTGTGGAAAGAGCGGAGAAGACACAGAGTCTGCCTTCACTGAAAGATAATTGTATCACATAAATGTTCTTTGTTGTTTGTCAAAGTCACGACAACAGAAATATTAAAACCAGATTGTTTGTTAGTTTCTTTGTTTGTTTGTTTGGTTTCGTTCACCGGCTGTAAACTACTAGATGTTCGTCAATTTTAGGTTTTGTTCCAAGACTTGCGTTTTGTGCGTACGTCCGTTTTACTTGTCTGGCTAATTTGAGTGCATTCTATTGGTTCATTACTTCTAACTTGGATGCACTGACTTTAAAGGGAACAAACTTGTGATTAGTTCCCCCTTTTTGACATGCTTGAAGGAAGAGCAGTAAGTCTTTTCCTTTCCCATTAAAATCAGGTCCTATAAAGCACATGGGAAGAATCCTAATGTAAGCATGGCAAAGTGGGTTCTTACAAGTGTTTTTCCTTTTATAAACGGCTTTATTTGTTATAACTTGGGAAATGACTGGCTAAATACCCGCCTATTTCCCCCCCCCCCCCCCCCCCCCCCCCATTTCCCCCCCCCCCTTTTTTTTGTATATGTATGTATTGTTGACTGCTTCATTCTATACGTATTAGACGAGTCGTTATATATTGCTGACTGCTTCATTCTATACGTATTAGGCGAGTCGTTATATATTGCTGACTGCTTCATTCTATACGTATTAGGTGAGTCGTTATATATTGCTGACTGCTTCATTCCATACGTATTAGGCGAGTCTTTATATATTGCTGACTGCTTCATTGTACATGTATTAGAGGAGTCAGCATATATTGCTGACAGCTTTATTGTACATGTAATAGGGGAGTCGTTATATATTGCTGACGGCTTCATTGTATATGTATTAGGGGAATCGGTATATATTGCCGACTGCTTCAGTCTATATGTATTAGAGGAATCGGTATATACCTCTGACAGCTTTATTATATATGTATTAGGAAAGCTGACCAAAAGAAAACTATGTGGGTGGGGGGGGGGGCTACCTGAGTCCCTCGCAAATTTTCTAGGGTGAGTTTGTAAGCCTTTTGTAAGTGCTTAATAATAATAATGTGCTGAATGGGAAATAACTGTAATAATATATTTAAAATTGGACATGTTTGTACAAAAACTGTAAATGAATACCTCTATGCGTAGTTGGGAGGGGGTAAGGGGGGGGGGGTGTGCAGTTTAGTGCCGTTACAAATGTAGACTGGGCATAACATTGGGTAGGGGGATCACCGGTTGCCTAAGCCCTCCATGCCCCGGCTCCCCTTATGCATAGCGCGAAGCAAGCCTACGCAGTCATAACACAACGTGCTTCTGTGTGAATATGACCGCATCAGCAATTATTTTACTTCATAAACAGAGTATTTACAACTGTCTGTATATCTGGTTTTGTGTCAACCCCCCACCCCCTCCCTTTTTATCCCCCCCCCCCCCCTCATCCGAAATTTTCAGTGTTATATTGACATTGTCCTTGCAAGAATCTTAAAACATTTCTAACCGAAACACTTATCGAAGCGATACACAGATAACAACAGCGTGCCGGTTTGGCTTGTCCGACTCGGTAATAAAGGTGGGAAAATCGTATCTTGGCTATTTATGATAATGTTAAATAGTTCAAGTTCGGGGTTTTCCTCTTGCAGCTCCTGTTTAGATGATTGCTGGTGTTGATGATATGAAGGTTGTAACTGGCGTTGATGGTATCAAGATTTTAACCAGTGTTGATGGTATCAAAGTTGTAACTGGTGTTGATGGTTTCAAGGTTGTAACTGGCGTTGATGGTGTCAAGGCTGTAACTATTGTTGATGGTATCAAGATTTTAACCAGTGTTGATGGTTTCAAGGTTGTAACTGGCGTTGATGGTGTCAAGGCTGTAACTATTGTTGATGGTATCAAGATTTTAACCAGTGTTGATGGTATCAAAGTTGTAACTGGTGTTGATGGTGTCAAGGTTGTAACTGGTGTTGATGGTATGAAGATTGTAACTAGTGTCGATGGTATCAAAGTTGTAACTGGTGTTGATGGTTTCAAGGTTGTAACTGGTGTTGATAGTATCAAGATTTTAACCAGTGTTGATGGTATCAAAGTTGTAACTGGTGTTGACGGTTTCAATGTTGTAACTGGTGTTGATGGTATGAAGATTGTAACTAGTGTCGATGGTATCAAAGTTGTAACTGGTGTTGATGGTTTCAAAGTTGTAACTGGTGTTGGCGGTGTCAAGGTTGTAACTATTGTTGATGGTATCAAGATTTTAACCAGTGTTGATGGTATCAAAGTTGTAACCAGTGTTGATGGTTTCAAAGTTGTAACTGGTGTTGGCCGTGTCAAGGTTGTAACTATTGTTGATGGTATCAAGATTTTAAACAGTGTTGATGGTATCAAAGTTGTAACTGGTGTTGATGGTGTCAAGGTTGTAACTGGTGTTGATGGTATCAAGATTTTAACCAGTGTTGATGGTATCAAAGTTGTAACTGTTGTTGATGGTTTCAAGGTTGTAACTGGTGTTGATGGTATGAAGGTTGTAACTAGTGTCGATGGTATCAAAGTTGTAACTGGTGTTGATGGTTTCAAGGTTGTAACTGGTGTTGATGGTATCAAGATTTTAACCAGTGTTGATGGTATCAAAGTTGTAACTGGTGTTGATGGTTTCAAGGCTGTAACTGGTGTTGATGGTATCAAGATTTTAACCAGTGTTGATGGTATCAAAGTTGTAACTGGTGTTGATGGTATGAAGGTTGTAACTAGTGTCGATGGTATGAAGGTTGTAACTGGTGTTGGCGGTGTCAAGGCTGTAACTATTGTTGATGGTATCAAGATTTTAACCAGTGTTGATGGTATGGAGGTTGTAACTGGTGTTGATGGTATCAAGTTTGTAACTGGTGTTTATCAAAGTTGTAACTGGCGTTGGTGGTATCAATGTCCAATTGTTAACTTCCAAGGAGATTGATCATATTGTTTGAGATTGTCCTGTTGGAATGGCATCAGGGATGCAGTACTTTGGACCGCAAGGTGTGGAAACTTTATATAGCAACCCGGAAGAGAAAAGCAGTCAGTCAGATCTCTGCCACACAGCCATTTTTAAGACGGTATTTCTTCTTGATCTCCTTCTCCAGTCCTATTCTGCCTTTCAGACTTAGATTTTGAAGAAACCTCGGGTATGTGCTGTGTAGATGCTGGTGTTTACAACCTTAGATACTCCATCTATCCATCGCTGGCATGGTCAACCTCTAGTCTGCTTCCATTAGGTCTAACGGACATAGTCCTCTTTTGCTACTGATATCGATTATGTTTAAATGCCAAACGTCAGTCTCATTCAGACAGAAGCAAGCCTATTCGATCCCCCTCGCTCCCCCACCCCTCAATTCATCACATCCTTTCCCAGTTTTTTTTTTTTTTCCAATTCTCTGCCACAAGAACATTGGACCTATAAGGAAATGTACCATCCACCGAATCATCCAGGCTAAAGTTTTGGCGCCTTATTAATAACCTACCCCAAACAGAGGTCACGAGACAGTCTAATATTTCAGGGGGTGGTAGATAGGCTGCATGGGACATAAGTGGGTTGTGGTTAGGGCCAGTTCTAGATATTTTGGGGTCGTTAAAAGCATTAGAAAAGCTGGGAAACCCAGTCTTACCACCCTCTGAAACGTTGGACTGTCCTGTGACGTCATCTGGGGTAGGATATTAATAAAGCACCAATGTTTCTTCTTATATCACGGCCCAAAATTCTGACTGTTTACATTCGGCGATAGAGAGAACACTGCTTTTCTGAAGGGACAGCTTCTCATGAATGCTATGTTCCAAAGATACTTTCCTTTGGAGTCAATATGGCGCTCGTTGGCGTCTTGTTTCTGTCTCCCAATCGTTTCTCCCGTCCTCCGAGAATATACTTTCTAGATATTTAAATTCTTTGGCTTGCTTCAGACAAATACCATTCAACCCGATATTTAGCGGACTATGAATTCTGGTGGCCCGCATTATTTCAGTCTTAGTTGTATTTATGTTCATGTTTTATCTTCTTCCTGTTGAACTTAGCCTTTTGAAACGTTCTTGCAGTCTACTTACTCCCTTCATCGTAGATCTGGCACTGATCGTCGACAAAGATTAGCTCAGTTATTGTGTGTTTTAAATTATAGATATGAATAACTGCAGCCTGGGATAGATGAAATGGATGGTACATTCACCCTGAAGCAGTATAACAGAAGGCTTTATGATGATCAGAATTCATTCCTCGATGAGTGCTCTTGGTTTCTTTATCTTTTTTGAACTCGTTCAGTCTACCTGGATAATTATTCCCTAGCGTCTACCGCTCTTTTGTTTCAGTCAAGACTTTGTTTTCTTACTCTTTAGCAAATTAATTATTTAGATTTGAGTAGTCATTCAGCTGTAAGAAGTTGTATGGCTGTGATTAGTTGTGTAGATCTAAGACGTTGCATAGATCTAAGACGTTGTGTAGATAGAAACGTTGCATAGATCTAAGACTTTGTGTAGATAGAAACGTTGCATAGATCTAAGACTTTGTGTAGATAGAAACGTTGCATAGATCTAAGACTTTGTGTAGATGTCAGAAGCTATGTAAATGTGAGATGTTATGTAGGTGTGCGCTGATATGATCTTCTTCCTTCTTCTTAACGTTCACCGGTTGTAAACTCTGACTGAAAGCTCTGACTGTTCGTTCACGTCTGGTTTTAGGATTGTTTCAGAACCGGAGTTTTGTTTGCATATCCATTTTACAGATCTGACTCATCTGTATGCAGAGTTGGTTCCTTGCCTTTCAGACAGATACATTCCGACTTCCAAGGAAACCCCCAATTAGATCACTCTTACGACATGTTTCTTTAGGAGGCAGTAAGGCTATTCTTGTTCTTTCTCACAAATAGGCCAAGGATTTAGGATGTTATGTAGATGTAAGATTTTATGTAGATATAATGTAGATGTAGGATGTTATTAGATGTAAGATGATATGTAGATGTAAGATGTTATGTAGATGTAGGATGTTATGTAGATGTAAGATGATATGTAGATGTAAGATGTTATGTAGATGTAGGATGTTATGTAGATGTAGGATGTTATTAGATGTAAGATGATATGTAGATGTAAGATATTATGTAGATGTAGGATGTTATGTAGATGTAAGATGATATGTAGATGTAAGATGTTATGTAGATGTAGGATGTTATGTAGATGTAAGATGTTATGTAGATGTAAGATGTTATGTAGATCTTATGTAGATGTAAGATGCTATGTAGATGTAAGTTGTTATGTAGATGTAAGATGTTATTTAGATTGTATGTACATGTAAGATGTTATGTAGATGTAAGATGTTATTTAGATTGTATGTAGATGTAAGATGTTATGTAGATGTAAGATGTTATTTAGATTTTATGTAGATGTAAGATGTTATGTAGATGTAAGATGTTATGTAGATGTAAGATGTTATGTAGATGTAAGGTGTTATTTAGATTTTATGTAGATGTAAGATGTTATGTAGATTTTATGTAGATGTAAGATGCTATGTAGATGTAAGTTGCTATGTAGATGTAAGATGTTATTTAGATTTTATGTAGATGTAAGATGTTATGTAGATTTTATGTAGATGTAAGATGCTATGTAGATGTAAGTTGTTATGTAGATGTAAGATGTTATTTAGATTTTATGTAGATGTAAGATGTTATGTAGATGTAAGTCTTGACAAACTATGCAGTTGTAAAGTTATGTTCCGTCTCCAAAATGAAGGTTGGCTACAGTGTACCACTGATGTCCTTGGGAATATTACGTGTTGAGGCCCCAATATCTTCACGGTGCGACTTTAGTACTGCTGTACAAAAACACGAACACGGATTTTTCTCCCATCCGCCACAGGAAACGAACCCTAGTACTAGGATCATGAAATTGTTTATGATGTATAGGTGTTATGAAGTTGTAAGATGTGATGTAGAAAGGAGATGATGTATAAATGTGAGATGTTACGAAGATGTAAGATGTGGTGTAGGTATGAGATGGTGTTTAGTTGTTTTGTAAATGTAAGATGTGGTGTAGATATGAGATGGGGTTTGGATGTTATGTTGATGTAAGATGTGGTGTAGATATAAGATGATGTATAGACGTGATAAATTGTTTAGGTGTGAGAACTTTGTATTTGACACGCATCTTTTTTAATGTGGCTCCCACCATTACCGACTGCACACTAGTCACAAATAAGAATGAAAGCTACGTTTGTTTAACGATCATGCGCAGTTACTTTACTAAATAGTATCTGCACTTCCTGGGTTTCAAACATCGGTAATCATTCCTTTCTCGAAATAAAATCAACAAATTATGTATATTCATAGCATAGCTTACCTCCATTTTGGGAACATCGAAGGAAGAAAAGAACAAAAACTATCGAACCGGCAAATCTGAGCGCCATGTTCGATATGGCTTCCGAACTGAAATGCCGGTTACGGTGTACAAACAAGGTCACTTAGATAAGAGAACCTCGGCGACGATGATTCATCTATATCCGACGCAGATCTTGCAGTTTGTAGTTGCTTCTGGAGACACTGGCTCAGTCATCGTTGCAGTAATCTCACACACATACGGCTAATGTCCGTATGAATGTTTATTGTTGATCGTTCGCATTGCTCTTGGCGGGCACAACCTTGATACGTTGATTGGTACTGATTTGTAATCATAGAGGTAGATAGAGTAAGCACTTCACACTGTAGGTAATTAGGTAGTTTGTCCAGAAGTGCAGTGTGTGGACTGACACCTCAGAGATGACTGGTGATAAGTGATCAATGAAGATTATCATCACAGCACTCCGGACAGATCCATAGGTGCTCCAATCTCCTCCTCAAAATCTCCACAAGCTCTAAACAAGATGACGCACCTTGTGTGTTGATTAATCCCAGGTCTTGAGCCTTTGGTGAAATGTTCAATTCAAGCTGCTCCATGAAGCATCCGTATGTCCATCAGCCTAGACAGGGGTACGAGGTCATACCAGGGGTTCCATTGTGGGGGAACCCAGAAGAGACCCACTACCTCCCCAACAAGCATGTCGTAGGAGTCGACTAATATGTAGCTTCCTACGAAGTCGGAGTGCATCTGCCTGAGAAACAATGGAAGCTAAAATTGATACACTGCCTTCACCACAAGCATGTCGTAGAAGTCTACAAATTGTAGGCTTCTTTCAAAGTCGGAGTTAAGGAACAATCAACTGGATACACACAATCCAGGAACGCGCAAAACTCCCTCCCTGGCACAAAGCCAAAGTCCAAATAACAGCCGGTAAACAAAGAATAAGAAGAAGATCCGACTGTTCTTAGGCGAGTTCGTGTCACTTAGGTTATGATTTATGAGTTGGGTTATCTTACCGCACTCCGGACATGTCGATAGGTGCTCAGATCCCCCTTTAACATACAAATCAAATAAATCCCGCAGCTAATAGTGCCAGTCCTTTCCTGGTTAATGAGATTTCTTAAACGTCCGGTGAGCTTCTCATGCCTGGGTGTGTCGATCTTTTTGTTTAATCCCATCCCAATATGGGACGCAATGTTTCGGTTGAACGGAGTTGCTGGGACTTACACCTGGTCGATTTTCATCTGAATGGTGGCACTTTGTGTTACTGGGGGTCTTAACTGATCGCTTTGCGACCCTGGTGGTGTTAAACGTCACTCAATTTGTTTCCAATCCTCGTATTCTTACCTGAGATGTGAATACTCTGCTCCCAATATTATCCGATCATCCTATCTCTCTAAAGGCATTAACAATATCAGCGCGACCCCTATACAGGCCAGCTGCAGTTAAGACAGGACCTGCCAGTCTATAAGCTCTTTCATTGCCAACAACACCCACATGCTGTCAGACACAGATGAAGGTAACTTCTGGCACTGTGGAGTTTCGTGATGACTCAGTTCACTGCCTGCGTATATAGTCTGCCTTGACCTACTGGATCATGCCCATGAA